TGAGAGATGCAATTAACCATAAAAACCTCTTTGCCAAAAGATCCAAGAAACTTTCACACGGTGGTTAGCACGCCATAGGAAGAAGGATAAAAGGATGCTTAGAATATACTCATGACCAGGCAGGAGAACCCACCAAAATTCTTGTTTGTGTTCAAATTTTTGGCATATTTTTGGATTATTTCCCTCGTTGCCTGGTCCAGCCGCCACATTGATAAATACCAGATCATCTGACAAAACCCTGTCCTGAATCTAAGAGATAGGCAAACTTAACTGAACCAGGTTTTGCTCTCAGGTAACCTGCATAAATTACTTATACTGCATTATGGTAGGCAAGCGTTTATGCAATAAGGGAAAGCAAGAAAACTAATCATCATATCCAGAGTCTCCCAGGCCATTAAAACTGAACACAGCCGCTGTCTATGAACTCACAGCTCAGACTACTGCTCACCTAAATCAACAAATCATTAGCCAAATATATCATTCACCCCCAAGAGTTTGATTATGAACGTGAACATATATATACTATCCACATTCTGGGAAGCCAAACAGGTGCTATTTTAAAAGAATTGAAGAAGCAGTTACAGCTGGATGGAGATTTGCACAAGCTGCAGAGCACAGGCACATTCAAGAGGTTCTGAAGTGGCCAAACTCCACGTACACAAAAAGGCCAAACTTGTCTTGTTTCTGGGTCACAGGCGATCAAGACCTTTGACCCGCGAGCTATAGATCTCTTACGCAGGCAAATTACTTACACTGTGATACCTCATACACAGCAGCCACCCCGAGCGTCCCACCAGGCACTACAAATAGGGTGGGTTACACTTGTGCTGCATTTGATTTGGATGGAAATGAGCTCCCCAGGGAGCCTACCTAAGCCTTTTAAATAGCGCCTGAGCAATGCCACGATTTGGTTTTGGAACTACAAGTAGAGGGACTTTCTTCTACTTTAGAAACTTAGATGGTTAGGGTACCATTAATGTTTATTTTTTTTTATTGCAAATTTGGCAAAAGTAGATAGAAAGGAGAGCATTTCATTGCTCCATCTCTAATTCTGTACTGGGTGATTTTTCCTTTACATAATTTTCTATTCACCCTATACAGTCATAAATAAATAATGAAAAATCCACTGCTAAAGGAGGAGAAAAATATACCCAATTAGAATACCAGCTTGCCTTGCAGTGTGCCCAATTCATTTTCCTACTGAAAGAATTTCAAGTTTTAGGCTACTAAGTAAACAGAACTAGGAAAATGAAGGAGCACCCCAAAATCTTATGATCTCACCATACGAAAGGAATAGTGATTCTAAGTATTTTGTTCCCCCCTCCCTGCCCCAGTTAATCTAACACACAAATTTACCTCTGCCATAATTCAATGAATGATAAAGTGAGAAATGAGATGGTTCTCTCTAAAACCATTGGTTCTGACAGCTCCTTTAAACTGCATCAACTCCTATACAACCTATAATTAATAGATATGTCAATATCACCATTAATAGTTATGTCAATATCCAGTATTTAAGAATGAGGACCAGAAAGAAGCTCCAAGACAACTGCACTTTGCTGGATTAAGAAGGAAAAAGATGGAGTAAAAATACTCCTTTCCTTCTGACTAATATATTACCACAGAGCAAATACATTACTTCTGAAATATCAGTAAGTGGCAACTTATTTTAACACCTGGCATGCTTCTAATCTGCTAGCAAACCAACAAAGAGACAAGGTTTAAGCATGCTCAAGTCATACCATTAACAAGCTCAGCAACATGTGCAAGAGCTGCCTGCCCTGGCCACGATCATGCTGACAACAGTGGTGACTTATTCCAGATGGAGAAGACAGGGACCAGGATTATAAGTGCAGTGAATGAGGAACTCATTTGGAAGAAGGGACGCCAAGATTAAACCCCCCACTCCGCCTCCAAGATTTAAGTAACAGTAACTGTCCGTGCACAGTATTACCTTACAGGACATTCATTTGTTAAAGTGGGAAATAAAAAACCCACAAAAAAAAAAAAAAAAAAAAAAAAAAAAAAAAAAAAAAAAAAAAAAAAAAAAAAAATGGGAAAAAAAAAAACCAAAAAAAAAAAAAAAAAAAAAACCCCCACACACACACGCTTCCCTAATATTGCCCAGTAGACCAAGATAACAGAATTCTAGGAATGAAATGGCACATCTCATTTATACACATCTAAGAAAGAAAACAGTTAGCTTTTTTAATATATAAATGCAATCATAATACAGATTCTGTACCTTTTTCCCCGCCCCCAGCTCCCCCAGGTGCTCTTAGATAACAGGAACTAAAGCTCAGCTATTAATATGTTGACTTTCTTGTTGCTTATCCTTTCTTAAAGGTAATCCACATAGCCGATAAACTTGTGCCATTGTATTCATTATGTATTTCTAATTAAAAGAAGGATTTGTTCAAACCCTCTATGGCATTTATAATGCCATTGGAAAATACCGTAGCATTTAGCCTTAAAGTTCCCTGAGGTTAAAAACCCTCCCCCTGTTTCCCCACAACCCTTTTCATCTTACAGCTGCTGCCTTTAACAACTGAACTGCATACGTAGCTTACCATCTTTTTGACTGTATCAGATTTTTGAATTCAAAAATGAGTACTTTCAAAGCAACATAAGATACTGATTAGAAAACCTGATATCACTACAACATGAGTTTGCTAAGACACTAGGATTGAGCAATATTATGAGCTTTAAAGGTCTTAGCTTTTTAAAACACTAGTTTAACTTTGGGACATTCAAAGCAAAGCGAGTTCTCACGCTATTAGATTTCTTAGTGTTGAAGCGATATTTGGTCTCCAAGTGTTTCTTTTCACTGTATGCACATTAGATTAAGGTCACTAACATTACACTAGAACAGAAGGATGAATAGATATAACAAAATTAGAAAAACAAGCAAAAAATAAACAAACAAATCCCACCTACAAATTACTACTACTATGGATGTTTCCTTTTCATATGCCCACAGTATAATTGCTCATCATAAAAAGGAAAAAAAAGTACAAATTATAAATTGCCACATTTTACACATTTAAAATTGTCATTCCACAGTACGATTTATATTAATTTGTGTAAACTCCACCAAACAGGGCACAATAGTGGTTGCTATAGATTAATTTCCTACACGATTTAATATGAATAAAAACAATTTAAAAACATAAAAAAGGGTGACCAAAACTAGGAAGAACAATAAGAGAAACACCTTTCTAATACTACCTTTCTAATACTAATATTAAACTACCTTTCTAACATACTTCCACTCTGAACAGAAGAATGGGGGGGGATTTTTTTTCACAGGAAGATCTAATTTCATTATTTTCTTCCCCTCTTCTTACTCCTTTAGTTTTCCTCCAGCTATTGGCTGTCAGCTAGGGTATAATTTCTTTCATTTGCCATCCAAATTCTGTCACTTGTATTTTCTAAACTAACTGAGGCACTCAAATTGTATTAGAAAACATTTGATACACCTATTCAAAGTTGTTTAAAGGCAACTGTATCAAATGCTATGACTGCCTGTACGTTGACTCCACTATCAAAACCCTAAGGATTAATATGCCTTTTTCCATTTTCATAAGCAGCTCTGGATCACATTTTATGTAACTCCTAATAAGAGAAATATTCACCATAGAAAGCCGCTAAAACAATGGATAAAGCTTTGAAAGTCTCTACAATACATGTATTTCAAACTATTTTCCCACTTTGCAAAGTAATATTTTTGTTACCACAGACATCATTCAAGGACATTCTACAGTCTGGATGAGAGAAAATGGGAAGACTCATTCACTGAAATAAACTGCTTTTAGTAACAGCTGCCTAACTAAAGAGCAAGCTAGTAAGTTGGATAGATTTCAGTGATTTAGGAGCAAAAAGTGTAAGCTAAACTGTAAAATGGCCTTATTTATCTTAATGTTAACAGACCCATGATGAAACATGTTAATAAACACTGATCTAGCTGCACGTTACAGAAATACTTCACTCCATTTCTTTTTCACCTAAGTATATTTCTTGGTCACCATCTTATAAAGCTGCTCCATTTCTTCTATTCTATAGAGTTCTCCTACTCCCCAGCATAAGGACCACTTAAAGAAATTTAATGCTTAGAAAAAAATTGCTTTCTCATCTAACTACTGCACATCACAAGACTTACTTTTGCTAAAATAATAACTTTTCCAACGAGTATAATGAAAACAAATATTAAATATACTATACGCATCTACGAGGAGGTGTGTGCTCAGCTATTTGCAGAAAAATTTTGAAAGAATTAGGCTAAGCTCCTTGCCCACTCCCTAGAAATTTGGTCATCAGAAGAAACATCAACATTAGTCTAGCACACCAAATAATACTACCTCCTGCATTAAGTACCTCTACTAATTTAGTAAGAATACTCTAGAACAAAATACAATTAATAGTTTTGCACCTGTATCAAGTTTTCCTTTTTTTTTTTTAAAAAAACTTTATTATTAAAAGCTTTTCTTTTAAAAAAACAGTTCAATCCATATTTTTGGCAGTACTTTAAAAAAATTACTTCAGAGATATGTTATTTTTGACAACATATTCATATTAACTTTCATATCCAAAAAGTCCACTAAAATAAGAAATGATTACAGAAGCTTCCTCTGTAACTGATTTTAACAAAACAGGAGTACTTGGACCAAAACACATTTAAAGTAAAGTAGCTATTAAGATCTACCATCACATCTTTACCTCATGCTTATGTATTCCCTATAGCTTCTACATTAGACAAGCATAAAGAATTTTACAGTTACATTAAAAAGAAATAAACATTAAGGCATACTCTCATGAGACCACAATATACTATTTTTGTTTTATAAAGCATAAAAGCACCTATGCACATAGCAAGTTACAGATAAAGACCACAAAGTTGCACACAAATAACTAACCCTACAATCTAACCCCAGAGGAACATTATTAATCCCTTACAGATTAAATATTCTGCTAGAAACCAAAAGAAGACATGCTGTACCTACCCAAGCCCTTGTAGACTGCAAATGTGTTTCAAAAGCTGCTGTAAGAACTGCAGTAGACATTAAGAGATGTGACTGTTACCCAGAAAAGATGGTGCCTCAAGAAGCATGCTGGTCACACCACAGCCCGGCAGCAGGACTTCATCAGCAGCAATTAAGGGCAAGTGTCAACACCTGAATCCTCTCCCTGCTGCTCAAGAAAAACTTTGATTGGAAGAGATCAGATTAGCAACACCTGGTTCTTGGAGCACTATGAAAATTAGAAAAAAGCTAACGATTTGGAGTCAAAATAATAAGCTGACTAATGGTGACTGCTAAAGTTAGTATGTTCCTCTAGTCCTAGAGGAAGGCAAAGTCTTTTTACACTAGTGATACTGGGAATTTTCCTAACAGTGTTTTTTCTCTGTGCAATGCAGTAAGAGACAAAGGGTAAAGGAGATAAAATGTCATACTGCTACCTTCTAATTTCTGCTTTGATTGCTTTATAAAATCTTCCTGATGTTTCTTCATAATAGACATGCTGCCTGGTCAGTCACCTGTTTCAGCCACCTGAAGGATGTTACAGGTTTAGTGTGGCCCCTCTCCGAAAGCTGAGCAGAAGGGGCTGTGCGCAATATTCATCTATGCCTGAGGATGTCTGTTTTTAACTGGCACACCACCACAGGCTGGTGCAGGACCCCAAGAGACAGGCTCCCTTGTTTATTGAGGCTGCCCAAAATCAAGTCTCCACTGAGGTTAAATGCCTTGCAGGGGTTTTTAAGGTTATGGTTTTGCTGTGTCTCTCAATTTCCAAATTGCAGAAGTGGCTTTGCAAGACGGAAACCAAAAATGCTTAATGTTACTTACAGCTACAGTTATTGACCGTAAGCTGATAAAATATGTTTTTCTCTTGTCTGAGGTGAATTATTTCTCAACTGCCGATTTTAAGAGCATATTTAAGCCATTGCAATTAGCTCTAAAGAAGTCACTACGTACATAATGTGATAAAAGTGCTTTTCATTCTGTATGTTAGATTTCTCTTAAATACATTTCATTCCATAACGATGGCAACTATGTCTTGCAGCAACCACAGAGCATAACGGAATTGAGTTTTGCTCCAAAAGATTTATAAGTATATGCACATCTTTAAGCAGATGCCTAGGTTTATTTTCTTTACCAAGCTTAGAATTGCATTCATACTTAAGAACTGTGCTGTACTGAAACCGGGCCATTCCTAGACATGATTGTCCAATATGTTTTCACACTTGAGACTGTCACTTCTCTGAGCTGAACAGAAAGAACTCTCTCTTTATTGTATTACACTCTACCATCAACGTAATCATATGCATGCACTGTGATTCCAACTTTTCCGCTTCTCATGCCACAGGGTCATTAGCAACCATATTCAGAGAGATATCTATCTTACTAGAAAAGAACACAAGCTTTTCTTAGGTAGTTAAGAGATTTTAAAGCCTGAAGAAAGCTCTTAATTACATCTCCAGAGTAAGAGAGGGTTACAGAACTGTGTTAAGTGTTGCAATAAACTCAATAGTTCTTATTTGCAGGAACTACATCCTTTAAAAGGTACCTAGATCTAATTGGAAGGCTCCATGAGGTAAAGAACCCACATTTCCATTTTCTTGTTGACCATTATCATTGTGATACAATCAAATGAAAAAGCACATCTGTATCTGACTAATTTTCAGCTACTTTTATATACTTGCCCATTTAAAAGCCTTTTATATCGAAGTATTACTCTTCCCCTAAAAGTGGTTACAAATCAGAATCATTTTGCTTTTTGATATATTTATAAGCTTTATATCTAGCCTTAGCCATATTTGTCTGCTTTCTTTTGATGTTATACAAGTTCAAAAAAGTACTGCCACTTGGAAACAGCAACAAAACCCAAAAGACAATCCTCACAATCGTCTCTGCCAATGTATTTTCAAAACAAGTTTCTGGTAGCAAAATGCCTAACTAAATTAATCCCATAAGCTTGTACAGGTTTCAGAAAGGACTGCTGAGTAGTCAAATAGAAGAGAATGGAGAAAATTCAATTTGCCTGTGATCATTAGTATTATTTTTAATGCTTTTCCTGTAAGATGCTTCTGTCTGCTGGTACATGGATGTTCTAAGTGTCCTTGTACCCACGACACATGCAGGAGGATATCATGCACTCTTTACGGGTTCAGAAGTCTGCAGCTTCATGTGAGGAGAAGAGGGAGGAACTCTGGGCAGACGTACATGGCGCAAGTCAGAGATGCCACACGGAGTCCTGAAAGGAGCAGGCACTGTGGTTGCCCTTGTTGTTATGTCTCTCGGCCACCTTAATTAGTTTCTCCTTTTCGGGTAGCTCAGCAATTTTTGCACTGCTTCCCATCCTGCAAAGTAAACACTGGTTTTGATTTCAGTGAGACTTAAGACCCTGTACAAGTAAAGACTTGCTCAATGCCAGACATGTCTCATTTTACTGAGGTCTTCTGCAAACCAGCTATATATTTTTACGTGATGCATTGGCAGACTCTTATTGAATACAATTGCTTCTCTTACTTTCATTTTCTCACCTGTTATTTTATCTTGGAAAACTTTCTTTTTAAACACTTTTTTTCTCTGCTAATGATTTTCTACTCTAAAGAAAAAAAATCACAGAGTGCATACCCTTCCTTATCCCACATCAAGACCTTCAGCCTTGGTTTCACGCAGACAATCTTTCACACAGCCTTAAAAACATTAAGTCCCTGAACACAAGATTTTGTGCAAGAAATAAAAAAACCTGGGAACTTATTGATGACTGAAGACACAAAGCAGCTGACCTAAATCCATTAGTAACTTCTAAATATTTTGAAGCATCTTTTTTAGGACAGTGACCTTGTACCCTTATGTGCCTGTTTTTAATGAAGATCATTATGCTGGTATTTTTCTCTTAACCCTTTACATGTCCCAGATATAAACACTGATACCTTTACGTATCTGTTTCCTTATCTGTACAGCATAACTGCACTAAGATTTCTAATAAGTACAGATATTTCTTCTTTGGTTTTATCTGTTGAAGAGAGTCAGGGGGCTATAATGAAGATATGTTTTCTCATATTTTTATCAAGATATGTCCTATCCTATGTCCCTTTTTAAAGTAAAAAGAACTCAATATTGTGCCTGATGCATTATCTTCTTATATATTACTTTGTTAGGAATGCCATGTTACCTCTCTTGCTGTTATGTGCTAAATGTTGCCCAAAAGACAGAGCAAAGGGTGCTTCCAGAAGGGTGGTGAATAAACATAAAGTTCTGCACTATTTTTCTAACAGAATCTGTCTGTTACTGACATACCAAGTGTTTAAAAAAAAAAAAGACAATAAAATTCTCCAATAATCTTCTCTTTCTCTGTATTCATAAATGCCCATACAAGACAAACACATTTTTAATGCTCTCTAAAGTGACCAACAAGTGTACCTGTTCTTTACATCCTTTCCAATCAAAGGGCAATAAAATCATGCAGCTTCTGCCATAGGCCATATGTGGCCTATGCTTCAGCTCTCAGGACTTCACTAGAATTTTTCCCTGTCTTCTGTCTCAGCAGGAAGTACAACTTCTAATGAAGTCATGGAGAGAACACAGTTTTAATCTAATAATTCTTCCACTTTTATTGTCCCCTGCTGAAAACTAACAGAACTATTATTATATGAAGATATTTATCAATAACTTCTTCTAGGAAAGCCATAAATTCTTTGCTATCTTAATTATCTTTTTGTAATTGCTGTTTTTCAAAATATGTTTTCAACCCCCATATTTTGTTTTTATGTTGGGTAATGTTTTCTATGTAAAGTTCTTCCTGCCTTAGGAGTCTAATAGATTCTTGGAAACATGACTTGCAATAACAGTTTGCAAAAACTACAAGTGTTTAGCCTGGAGAAGAAAAATGGCAGACATGAAAACACTCTTCAGATATTTAAAAAAGGAAGGGAATACTTTGTTCTCCTTGTGTGAATAGCTAAGAAGTTAAGAGATTTGCATTTATCATCAGAAGAGTCCAAAGGGAGGGTATGGAAATATATTACCAAAATATTTTGGAGTCTAGAGAGGTATGATGTACATATCATTGAAGGTACTGAACAAACTGACAAACACTTGTCAGCAATTACCTAAATTCATTTGACCCTGTTTATGGACTGGGCATAAGGCAGGTGAGCTTTTAAGGTCTGCTGATTCCCTGTTTGCTCTCTTTTATCTTTTCTTTCAACAAAGTTGGATAAATGCTTAAAGTGATTCAGTTTACTCCAAGGTCATTAAAGAAAGGTATTTTCTAAATATCCTCTGTATCCTCAAATATTTTAACTTTTAAAAGTCTTTTAAGTATTTCATTTTTCCATTCAGACATTTCTTTCTTATTTTGGTTTTCTCAGGTAGCACATGTTGATTACAACTCACTTAGAAAAGAAGTCCATTGTCTACCATTCCATAGTCTTACCAATCAGTATTATGTAACACAGGGGTTACAAGGAGTTCATACCTGGAAAAAGAATACCTCCAACCCCCCCCCCCCCCCCCATTCAGGCAGGCATGAACAGAAGATAAGAGTTCAGTGACAGATGCAAAGGCATTAGAATAACACACCTCACTTGTGCCTACATCACATGGGATCTGAGGCACCTGATATTTTGGAGCAGTGGGGGACGGGAAGGAAGGGTGAGATAGGCAGAGGGATAATAGTGGAAGAGTTCCTTAAAACTTCTATTTAGTGAATATCTCTTATCAAAACCATATTGTTAAAATAATATACTTGTAGCATTGCATTACTTTGCATACTCCAATTTGAGCAATTGTGCTCTGTGATGACCCTCCTTGGAGATGAGCTCTGCCTGCAGGTGACAAAGCTTAGCTCGAGATTAACCCAGCCAGATGACTAAGAGGTCATCTACTAGCATTTTTGAAGCAATGCCCAAAAGCAGATTGCTTTTCATTCAGCAAAAGTCATTTGCAAAGGGAAATTAGTACTGTTCCAATGCACCAGGCAAAGTGAGCAGCTTTTCTCATTTTCAATATGTGAGAGAGTATGTGTAATTTTGCCAATGGAATAAGGGAGTAAGATGAGCCCTGACTGATCTG